CCCTCCCCCGTCCAGTGCCTGAAGTTTAGGGCTTCAGACAAAGGCCTCATCCCTGTGCCTCCCAGGATGGCGGTGGTTCCGTCGGGAAGTGGGTTGGGGGGAACCCAGAGTGAGGAAGAACACCCTGCTAAGACTCATGCCCCCACAGGAAGTGGAGACCCTTACCTCCCACTGGCTCCTCTACATGAACTTGGGCGGCTTCCTGGTGGGGCTCTTCTCATCCACGCTGCTGGGTGCTTGGAGTGACTGTGTGGGCCGTCGCCCGCTGCTGGTGCTGGCCTCGCTGGGCCTGTTGCTCCAGGCTCTGGTGTCCACCTTTGTGGTGCAGCTGCAGCTCCACGTGGGCTACTTCGTGCTGGGCCGCATCCTTTGTGCCCTCCTCGGTGACTTCAGTGGCCTCCTGGCTGCTGGCTTTGCCTCCGTGGCGGATGTCAGCTCCCACCACAGCCGAACCATCCGAATGGCCCTGCTGGAAGCGTGCATCGGGGTGGCAGGGATGCTGGCGAGCCTCCTTGGGGGCCACTGGCTCCAGGCCCAGGGTTATGCCAACCCCTTCTGGCTGGCCTTGGCCTTGCTGATATTCATAGCTTTCTACTCTGCTTTCTGCTTTGGTGAGACTGTGAAGGAGCCAACACCTGCCCGGCTCTTCACGTTCCGCCACCACCAATCCATTGTCCGGCTCTACATGGCTCCAGCCCCGGAGAAGTCCAGGAAGCATTTAGCCCTGTACTCACTGGTTATCTTTGTGGTCATCACTGTGCACTTTGGGGCCCAGGACATCCTGACCATCTATGAGCTGAGCAGACCCCTCTGCTGGGACTCCACGCTGATTGGCTACGGTTCTGCAGCTAGGCACCTCCCGTATTTCACCAGCCTGCTGGGCCTGCGGCTTATGCAACTCTGCCTGACTGACACTTGGGTGGCTGAGATTGGCTTGGCCTTTAACATCCTGGGGATGGTGGTCTTTGCATTTGCGACCATCACACCTCTTATGTTCACAGGTAATGTGTGTGGGCTCACGGACGGTTTGTCCCAGAGGTGCTGGGTGAAAATTGGGGCCAGCCACTTGCTGGCTTATGCCTTTGGAAACATTGTTATGCTCCTAGCCTGCACTGGAAGACAGGCAACTAAGAAACCTCATAAAAATGGCACCTTTGTTACACACAAAATATAGAACTTCAGTAGCCAAATTAATTAACCCACATTATCAATCATAAATAGTGTTAGTAAGATAGAGCAACTGACACAATATGGCTCATAGGTTAATTGCTTCGCTCCTTCACCTCCCACAGCCTATATTTACGGTGTTCTTAGACAAAGTCCATGCTAGTAATGTCTTAGTACTCACTTCTCTGACAATTATAAGACCTACCTCAAATATCCTTGGTCAGCTTCTTTGGTTTTTTTGTTAAAAGCCCGTGTTCTCTTACTGCAGACGTCAAATTCCTGCTTGTGTGTGTTCCTCTTCTTTTGGTGAAAGAGAGGCAGCTGAGAATGAGGAAATTAACTTTTTTATAAAGAGACAGATTTATTTTGATAAAGCTCTGAACTATGTTGTGTACAAAGTGAGCCATTCAATAATCACAGATTTATTAACTTGGATGCTTGCCTGGACAGTGAGGCTGAAGAGGGCCAGGTACCTTTCTCTCCTGCCCACAGCATCTCCCATGGACTTGATGCTGGGCTCAAAGCCCTCAGGGGTGCAGAGATGATGACGGCACTGTCATTGCTCTGGGGAGCCTCAGCAGAGTGGGATTTGGGAGCCTGACACCTGAAGGGGCCCTGGGGTGCCTCATCATATACCCACTTTGAAGGATCTACTGTCCTCTAGGGCAGCGATTTTCAACCCTTTTTTATCTCATGGCACACATAAGCTAATTACTAAAATTCTGTACCACACCAAAAAATATATTTTTGCCAATCTGACAAAAAAATAGGTATAATTTTAATTCCTTCATACTGGACGGCTATTGTTGTGCTGGCTATTGTCATTTTTTATTTGACAATCTAAGGGAAAAGAGATCAGTGTTCCTGACTAGTCAGGTATTTCATGTGTTAAAAATTCTTGTGGTTTACCAGTGTGCCACAGCGCACCGGTTGAAAATTGCTGCTCTAGGAGTTTGCAGTTTTACTGAAGAGGAAATAGTCACACGAGGGAAAGAAATGGTTGTGAAGGAAATAGTTTAAGTCTGAGAGTAACAAAATGCAAAGTGAAAAGGAACTTGCATTTACTGTGTGCTTACTGTGCCATGCTCTTCATGGGCTTTCTGGTGTATCCATTTTCTAGGGCGGCTGCTGTAACAAATTACCACAGATTTGGTGGCTTAAAACACAGAAATATATTCTCTCACAGTTCTAGAAGCAAGAAGTCAAGAATCCATATTACTGGACCAAAATCAAGGTGTCAGTAGGACCTTGTTCCTTTCAGAGGTTCTAGGAGGGAACCTGTCCCTCACCTCTTCTGGAGGCTGCCAGCACTCCTTGGCTTCTGGCTGCGTCACTGTGATCTCTGCCTCTGTGATTACATTGCCTTCTCCTCTTCTGTGTGCCTTCTCCTCCATTCTGTCTGTGTCAAATTATTTAGGGGCCAGCCTATCAGGTTATCATCATCCAAGATAATCTCATCTCAAGATTCTAAACTTGATCACATTTGCAAAGACCCATTTTCCAAATAAGGTAACATTTACAGATTCCAGGGATTAGGACCTGGTATCTCAGGCCATTACTCAGCCCCCTACACACCAGAACCATCCTGTGGTGAAAGCCTTGTTACCCTCTTACAGATGGGAGCCAGACCCAAGGCCACACATTTAGTAAGCGATGGCATCAGGTTTTGAACTTCGGCTGCCTCCAAAGTCCGTGCTTGTCTTATGTGCCCTGCCACCTCCCTTCTATGTGGGTGATACCCGCTGGGTCCACAAAAGATGTTCTGACAAGAAGGCCATTGGTAGGGAATCAGCATTCATTGATAAAAGAGGTAACAGGCCAAAGCTTGAGAAGAGTAGTCTCCATTCCTCCTTAGTCATTGTCTCCTTCACCATCAAGGAAGTTTTTTCTGTGTCTAACCAGAGTCCCACCTGGGGTATGTGTAGGAGCTCTGCTACATCTTGCTTGTGCACTCCTCTTCCTAACGCCATTTAGTTGATGATTGTTTCTCCACAGGGTACGCACTCCTCTTCCTGTCTTTAGTCATTACACCCATTGTCCGGGCCAAGCTCTCCAAGCTGGTGAGCAAGTCAGAGCAGGGTAAGTGTCATGGTTAACCAGCATCTGCTTCCTTATGCCCAGTGGTCTCTTAACAAACTGCCCAGGGCTGGCAGAGGACCACAGTGCCTGGGATTTTCAGACCACAGAGTTGGAATTTGCAGTCAGAAGAGTATAGTTTTCTTTTGGGTAACCCAAGCAGAGGATATTCCCTTTCCAGACCTCAGCTTTTCCATCTGTAAAATGGATGCTGTGATGCCAGAGTTCCCTGCTTCGCTGGGGTCGGATCATGCAAGTTCAGAAGGAGTGAACAACCTTGTGATATAGGTTTCATTGTCCCCAAGTGACAGATGAAGAAGCAGAGGCCCACAGGGTTAAATGGACTCACCCAAGGTCACTCAGTAAGTGGTGGAGCTAGGATGCAAAGCCAGGTCTGTTTTTAAGAGCAGCAGGTCTTAGATATGGGTGTTAGTCCTGGCACCATCACCCACTGGCTTTCTTAGGTGGGTCCCTTTTCTCTCTCTGGGCCTGTTTCTTGATCCATACAAGAGTAGTTCTTTTTTTTTTTTTTTTTTAATTTTTTTTT